TGGAGAGTGGTAAAGTAAATTCCTTGTCAAAGGACGTTAGTGTCGGGCCGGGTTATCCGAACCCTCAACCCTAGAGAACTGAGGGTCAATTGAATGACTCCATACCACGACTCTTCCATAATCTACTAATTATGTGGATTTTTACGCGACAAAATAACTTAACAGTTGAAGCTTTAATAATCAGTGGACTCTACCCAATTAGTTGATTAGCCGGGGTTTTAAGTACACTTCTATGAATACTGAATATTACAAAATCGATGGTAGTGCATGCCCTGTGCTATTTCAATTATTCAAATTTCGCCAGGTGATCGTAGCCCATTCAACAAAAGTTGGTCTTCTGTGGAGCCCTGAAATATTGCAACTATATGTTATTAAAAAGATTAGAAAAAAGACATTCAAAATAGCATAAATACAGCAAATTAAATGTTACACATTAAAAAAGGATTTCTTAAATATAAATGTACTGGCTCCAATTATTCAACTAATACAAATCCATTATGTTATGGATAAAACCCCATGACTATCGTTGATATAAACGCACAGCAGAGTTTGGTCTTCATGTTTAAATTCATAAATATCCGTTTCCTGATTCATTTAAGGATTTATTTGCATTAAATAGAATACCCTATACCCGACTCGGAATTCATTAAACCTTCATTTGATAACTCCTAAATTATTGATTCTACATAAATCAATTGATATATATATATATATCCGATATCAAGTACACCGGTATGACCGGTTTCAATTTTATTTCATTAGTGAATTCAGATTCTCTATGTTGAACTAAAGTTTGTCCAACTCTGGCTTAAATACATCTATGAAATATTTCTCTTTAATCCTACGTCCAGTCTCAGTTTCAGTCCTCATTATATGAAAAAAGGTACGACATCAAATTCTGGATGTATTCCTTTCGCACGTCTTGATAGGTCTATTATGTTTACTCACATTTAGGGTATGGATTTTTTTTTTTTTTTTATATGTTGACGATGGAGTGTCATTCTATTCTTTAAAGGGCAATCCAACCCTTGTAATAAGTTTATTTGAATGAAAGCAGAAAAATAGCAGAAACAGAATGGCAAAAGTTTGAAATGAATTGGACCAAAATTAAGGAAGTTATGAATGTTTGAAATATGAGATCACTAAGTCTATGTGAATTTCAAATTGGTAGTTCGGTCAGTGGATTGTGACGTAGGACGTGGATAACTCTCCCATTTGCCGTGTACACAAATATCACTAATTTCTGTTTTTCTCGTAAGTTCCTTCTCCCTTCGGACACTACTCAAAATATATTATAGATAGCACATTATTAAAGGTTCTCTAAAAAGAAAAGACCCTCCTGAGCCATGATATTTAGAAAAATTTCAATTTTTAGTCATTTTATATGTTGGAACAGATGGGAAAGTAGTCCGGCACTACATCACATTGACATTACCGATTTAGCGAATTTGAAGTGCCCATAAGTATAGGGATATAACTTGCAAAAAATCCTAACTTTCTTATATTTAGTCAAATGTAATTGAAACTTTCAACAGTTTGCTTTCTATTAGAGCAGTTGTAAATTGGAGTTGGATTTCCCTTTAAAATATTTCCTGCCTCTCCGACATTTTAATATATTTTTTTTATTTATATATAGATTTATTTTTGTTTAATTCATTTTATTATATATATAGGCTGATTTTGCTTCAAATCAGGGATGATAGGGATATGATGATAGCCTTTCTTATCATGCTTATTACTTGTTTGTTTTTTTATATATAAACGTGATCATAACAGGTAACAAGACGTGTTACCGGCAAGACGGGTTATCTAGCCGACGACAAAGGAGAGGGGAAAAAGGTGTTACAAACCCCAGTTATATTCAAGCAAGGCATCGGAAAGAAGATTTACTTCATGCCAAGGTATCCGCCTCGTTCTTAAGCCGCGTGCAGCTTGACTCACCAACCGGGCCAATCATCAGAACCCCAAGGCCATTGTTCAACCCATAGCGAATGTTTTTAGATTGTCTTGTCAGACTCTATCATGAAATATCGGGAAATAAATAAAATATAGTGTAAAATAGCTTCTTTTCTTTTGTCGATCGGGGTGACACATAATAATCTGGAAGCTTCAATCACTTTCAGATCAGTGACACACAGACGATTTGTCGACTAGATATTTGTTTCGGTAGTAATCTTTGAACCAAAGCAAGACGGTGAAAATTCCACAGATGGCCTGAGGGCCTGGCTAATGTATAAATAAAGATTTGTGATGTATAAACTATTCATTGTTGGTATAACTAAATGTATGATGATGGGCAAAAGCTTTACCGCTGTATATAGATCTGAAGAAATAAAATGAAATCGGTAATAGTGAATTTAAAATTTAAGTATCTTAATTTTAACTGTTATGATTGTTATATACATACATAAGTGCGAGAATTCTCAACTCTGACATGACAACGGGTGTTCCAGAATATATATATATATAGGAATATAAGAATTAAAGGAAAATTTAAAAAAATATATACATATAACTCTCACTGATTAATGTATAAGAATACTCAGTAGTTTAGCAAATTAACATACGTAGGGATAAACTTGTTCATGTTTTATTTAGAAATATAGATTTTTTTTTTCTTCCTCACTAATTATAGACGAAAAAAAAAATCATCTATCACTGAAGTTGTAATTTGTTCTTGTTCAAAATCTACTTTAAAGGCGATCTAAGGTTATTTTGATCTCTGAAAATTAGCATGTTACTTTTTGTTCAAAATGTTATCATTCGGTTGTTTTTCTATGTTTATTTCTACTTTGTTCGTCAACAACATTATAACATATTGTTCAAATTTGCATTTTACATTAATATGCTCTGAATAGGCTCTGAATTCAGGCCATGCTTTTATTGACCATCTATCTTTATTTTCTTTCATTCTATATCCTATTCAAGCATTATTAATTTTTCCGATTGGAATAAGTAACTAGCCTAAACTTACATACTCTTTTCTGATTCGTATTTTACGAATTTGATAGCTCATGTCCATAACCATGTATAGGTACCTGAAGATGTGGCTGGGGTTTCCTTATTGTAATAATAATCATTTAATCATAAATGATAATATTCATGAAATAATATCAAATTATATTAATAACTATTAATAAATCCAGTTTATTTCAGTAAAATTATAATCAGTTCAATAACAGAAAAAATTGTATTTTTTCAGCTTTTTCGTCCTGCAGATTCAGCAGTCACCGTCAAATTTCATCGATAAAAATAACATATAGAATTTCACACTTTATATCAATTAATTTCGTCTCGTAACTTCCTTATCATGCATATGTCATAGTCAATTTCGTCTTTGGTCATTAAATTTCGAAATTTTTCCAATCATTTTCATCATTTGCATCCAGTTTCGTCAAAATCAAATCAAATTCTCCTTCCTCGGTTACCAACGTATATAATTGATCCGATTTAGTCATTCAGCGATCGATTTCATCAAAGCGTCATTCAAATTCGTCACTCGGTCGTAATAAGTTCTTATCTATGCAAACGAATTTGAATGAAATATGAAGAAAATGAATGGGCAAGTGTTTGAATTTTCTGACCACTGACTAACTTAAATTAGCTTTGATATTTGCAAGATTCCGGATTCCTATAGGACAACATTGAAGTGTTCAAAAATGAATTTAGATTTTTTTTAAAGGTGTTTAAATGGACGGTAATTGAATCTGCAGTTAAACGGATTTTTTATTTTTTTGATTTAGCTGCAATGGTAATTTGTATAAAACATCGATTGCTCGGAGATGCAAATTTGAGAATTTTAAATAAATATGATTAATTTTGTAATTTATTCATTATCTAATGTACATAATTATTGCAGTTTAATGTTACTTAATTATTGTATTTACAGTTTCATTTTTCATTATCATGTTATTGTTATAAATTGTTAGTTCAGTAATTCGTCCAATTTAAGCGCAATGTTAATTTCACGTTTCTTGTTGATCCTTATTACATATTTAGTTTAACTGTACATTACATTTCATTTCATTAAATGCCTTAACCACATGTTCTTGTAGTCTCATATACATCTTTCTGTGTACAGTGCTTGTAACTTTATCAAGACTGGGCCAAGTTTATTATCATTTTGATGATTCCAAAACCCTGCAGTATACACCAATACTTATATGCTAGATGATCAAACTTTTCTGATTGTTTCCACGTCTCTTTCATAATGCAATCGCATCACCATAACTCATCTTTTTCTGGATAGAGTGATACAAATACAGAGAGGAATGGATAAACAGGTAGAGAGAAAAGGGGGCGAGAGAGATAGAGAGAGAGAGAGAAAGAGAGGGGAGCTAGGTAGAAAGGGATAGGGAGAGAGAGGTATATAGGGAGAGGGAGGGAAGGGGCTCAAGGAGGAAAATAAAGAAAGGGAGGGGGTTGAATGTGAACAATTAATATTTAGGCGTTTCCAACTCTGTATTTTGGCTTGTAATTAAAAAAAGAAGGTCGTATTCATGGAAAGAAGAAGAGGGGAAGACCTCGTAAAGGCTTTCTAGATGATTTAATCACAGAATGTGGAGCAACAGGGTATGAACCGCTGAAACGGATGGCTCAAGATCGAAGAACTTGGAGAGAAACTTGATATCAAATTTTGATTGAGTCACTGAACCTGTCATAAACTGACAGATCACTATTGATGATGAATTAAAAAAAGACACCCTCACACACATACACACCCACATATACACAACGCATACACGTACTTCGACACGCAAAGTGAAACAGCTGCCTACTACATTAATGATTCATACATCAAGTTTACCATTTCCGTAAGCGCGTCATAAACGTACTTGCATTGAGTACAGCAATAGTAGAACGGTTGGCTTGAGCAATACAAAGCCCCAATATTGCTGTCTCATCAAGAGGTCCCTGGATGAACCCGCACATGTCACGGTCACTACCAATAAATCCATATCATCTCATCATCAGCTTCATTAAAGCTCATATCTTACCGATTTAATTCTCTGCAATCCTTACAGGCTATAGACAGACTGCTCTTGTCTCTCTTCTCAATCTCATCGTAAATCACAAGAAAGACAAAGGTAAGGCTTAACATCACAGGTAACTTTTTATCTTATATTTATTCACTTATGAAACCCGTTATGGTTTATATTATGTGCGTGATATCCAACGCCTTTGGCAGATCTGGATAGAAATCGACGAATGTGTCGCAATATATTATAGTGCGATACATTGTTCTTTGCTCATATGTAGCTCCGTGTAGATCCTAAATATTTACGTCATAGATGGAGCTGTAGACGAACATCTGTTGCATTATTGGTATAGGATGTGGTTTACGGAGTGTTTCGTCAGCCATGCATGGCGCGCTTTCCCCAATTCACATCTTGGATTATGTGATACAGTCGTATATGATCCAAATCTCTCTTTGATTTTAAGTAATATAGAACCTTAAAACCTTATTCCTTATTGGCCCATGTAATTTTTTTTTTTTCTTGTTTATGAGATTTACTCCTATATACTTTTGTATGCGTATATAAGTATGCATGAAGACAGCTAAATTATATAACTCAAGGAAACGACACAAGCCGTAACCTTACGAAAATCAATTTTATTTATAATCATTACTTTGTCATTACCAGAATATACCCATGTTTTGTATCATATTTCTGTTCAGTGTGTACTATGTCCAAGGGCTTATTTAGGGGGAGGTGGTGTTCAACACCCCCATCCCATTTCCAAAAGGGGGGTGTTTTAGATCTTCAAACACAAATTTTATCCGTGTTTTCTATGACCCCCGCCCCTGCCCCCCCCCCCCCCTCCAAGGGGAAATTTTTGTTTTGTGTGTGTGATACCCCCCCCCCTTCCACGCCGCTTTTTCACCGGGTGGCTGAATCGCAGCTAAATGTTTTCTCACGAATTGGGCAAAAAAACACCTCCCCTTAAAAATCCTGGATACGCCCTTGTGTGTCTGAGAATTGTATTTATGTTTGAGCGACACAAATATCCTTGTTGAACGTACATTGGATGACTAAATACATTGAATTGAATTGAATAAGCAGGAACTCTTGACGAAAGAATGTCAACGGCCTTTTCAATCCAGCTACCACCTGATGTTGCCGAAAGCCTTCTTTGTTAATAATCGCTCACCATGAAAACCAAAAGTGAACATAATTATAATACATTATACATGTTTTTTCAGTTTGTTGCATGAAGTGGCTATCATTCGTAATACACAAAGTAAAATGGGATATGAATACACTTTATTTTCTTCACTGTGAATTACAGTTCATGTTGAGATTGTCATCAGTACACTCGTCAGAATCCCTGTTTTATTGCTTAGGAAGCATTAAAATGATAAGAAATTGATACAATCTTTATGAAAGTCCATGCATTGCACATGGGTTTGAGTATGGGTCTTCTCACACATAACAGATTTGGCCTGAAACTTTACACCATTCATTCCCTCTATTTCCTGTTTTTTTTTTCGAATTAAGATTCAAGATTTAAGATATTTTATTTAACTATATCCATACAAAATATACAAAATGCAGTATGGAATATGGAAAGCAGAAATAAAGCAATAACTTGTGTGGAATAGCCTTGAAAGAAACAAAGTCAAATTAATCAATAATAGAAACTAAATTACACAAATAAAAACACAATAGGCACCCACACACACGCAAACAAACACGCCCACATACACCAAATTATTAGGCCATGTGAAGAGCAATCCATTTGCATATGCTGGATCTCACCTATGGAATCAATTACCACAACATATTCGTTATATTTCAAGTTTAGATTGCTTTAAACATGCCCTCAAAACTCATTTGTTCAAAGCAGCTTTCCAGTAGATTTAGACTTACTTCACATTGTTGTTGTTCATTTTTGTGTGTATTTTGGTGTACTTTAATATAGTTTTTCTTCTCCATGCGCCTCGAACACATTAGTCATGTGGAGTTGACGCATTACAAATATACTATATTATTATTATTATTTCAGAGGATAACATTCAACCTTTTCTTTCAGATGCCGAAGACGTACAAGCTGGAGTACTTTAACCTTCGTGGTCGCGCGGAATTGTCCCGTCTGCTTATGGCACAAGCTGATATGAAGTATGAAGATGTTCGGCTCTCATTCGCCGATTGGGGGACAGCCAAGGGAAATCAAGAGAGTAAGCCTTTTTTTTTTTTTTGCGTGTATTCATTTAGTTTAACCACACCCCCTCAATATGAAGTTTAATAAAACAGAAGAATGAAAGAAACTCTTCACTCAATTTTCGACACAATGTCGATAGCTCGGGAGGGGGGGGGGAGGGGATAGGGGGGGACAAATGGTAAAAAGTCGATCCCTTACCTATTATATGGAGAGGAACAAAACATGAAAACAGGTCATTTCAATGATTTCTTTTCAAACATCTCGCTATCCATTATTTTAAAGGGTGGGAATCACAGATTGTATAATATTCTCCTGTATTTTGTTATTTTTTTTAAACATTGGGTATAATTCGTAAGTATCAATCTGTAAAGATACCACATTGTTACAAAAAATGAAGAATAAACTAATTTGTTAATGATCAGTCATGATCATTAATCTTGCCAAGACCTGAGCTTTCCTGTGTTTGTGTTTTTCCTGTATATGTTCTGATCACGTCCTATACTGTACATTGTATAAACACTCCCCATTGATTTAAATTGTTCATAACTTACTCACATCATGCACGACCCGGTACTAAAGGCATATGAGTTTAGAGGTTTGCGAACGATAGGATGACTTGCGGTAGGTCTAAAATCAATTGAATCTCATTATGGAGACAGGGCCCTCGTGTCAATGTCATAAAACGACCGTTTAACTTTCTTCATTGATGAATAGCAAAGACCAACAACTTCTTCAAGCATGTATTTTTTCTTGTTGATTCTTGATCTTGCAATTAATATCGACAGAGTACCCCTTGGGATTTCTGCCAGTGCTGGAGGAAGATGGAAAAGTCATTTCACAGAGTATGACCATCGCTCGTCATCTGGCGAGAGAGTTTGGTAAGATCTATGACTTGTGTGTTTGTTTCTGTTTTGTTTTTATTTTTCATTTTGTTTTGTGTCTTGCCATGTAGACTGAATTGACCAGGGGCGGATCTAGCTTTTTGCTCAGGGGGGGGTTGACCAATAATGACGATCCACGAGCCGCGAAGCGGCGAGCCGATTTTTTTTGGGTGTTTATTTGAACCCCGTAAGTGATGTTTTCCTGGCATCTATTAACACAATGGAGACCATAAAAAGCAGTGCATGATAACGTCTTTTTAAATCAAGTAACAGTTAAATACACAGTTATATCCAGAGTTATCATGTGTTTGGTTAAGTTACCAGATGAGTTGAATATCTTCTCACAATATTTGCACTTGAAAGGGTTTCTCTCCAGCGTGCGTTCTTTTTTCTTTCTTTTTTTCTTTTTTTTTTCTCTTTTTTTTTTTTTTTTTTTTTTTTTTTTTTTAATGTGGGGATTTTGGGGATGAGAATCGGCAACGCTGGCCTAGCTTGTCACTTCGGCGGTGGCCCGTGTCCTCAAAAAAGCTGATGGGGGGGGGGGGGCATGGGACTCTGTGACATTTGTTCGCCCAACCCCCCCCCCCCCCCTCCCCCAAAAAAAGAAATAATAATAATAATAATAATAATAATGATAATAATAAATGAAATAAATACATAGAAATAGAATAAAATAAAATTACAAGTTTTAAAAAAAAGATAAGATTTAAAAAAATGGTCCCGGATTTTTTTTTTTGGGGGGGGGGTTGCAACCCCCCCAACCCCCCTCTAGATCCGCCACTGATTGACACAACCAGAGACTGATAGAAGCTATGTTATATTCTTGTATATAATTGTATTAAAGTGCCACATAGTGTTTCTGTCTTCAGACTAGTATCAGTTTTCTGGGGGCGTTTGTCATTAGTGACAAATGACAGTCTTTGTTATAAGCTACTAAAATCCTTGCTTCTGATTGGTTATCAGCAGATTTGTCAGTGATTTTTGTCATTTATCATTGAATAAAGGCTTTGTGGAACGGGCCCCTGATGTAATGTTTAAAATGCCCGTGATTCTCGTCTCTCTTCGTTCTGATAATAGAGTTTGCTCGATTATCTTTTTTTACAGGAATGGCGGGACAGAATGAAGAAGAAATGGTGATGATTGATATGATTTGTGAGACGTGTAACGAATTGCTGAGCAAGATGATTGAGATAGCCCTGATGCAAGGCGAAGCCAAGGTGAGTGAGGATAATATAGCCGGGTGATGATCTTTCTTAAGTCAAGATCAGATATGGCGCGGTAAACCGCCACAAAATACAACCGCGGTTTTTTTCTCGTGTAAAATGAATGGCAACTGTGAGCAAGAAAGGACTTGCGCGTATTCACCGAGCTCTGTGTTACAAGGTTCAGAAATGCGTCGCGTTTACACTTTTCGTCATTAAACAAAAAAAAAAAAAGAAGAAAAAAAAAGGGCCGCTGTTCCGCGTCATATCTTTAACGAACCTGTAGGTGGCTCTTAGCCATATGTTAGTCTAGAACCTTTCCCGGTATAGTCACCCCATTTCATCTCTGATATTTGAAGTAAGATCCTTTAAGTCATTTTTGCCCAAAGGTTGTCAGCCTGACCGTATTCGTCGGATTAAGCAACCCAGAGCCACCCAAACAGACACAAAAGTCTGGTTGATTTCACTCCATCTACTCCACATCTAAATCTCACAGTTGTTAGTAAATTATCATTATCACTTCATTAACATGTTCATTCATTCTCTCAATTGATCGGTGATAAAAGACAAACTCTTATTTTTTGTTTGGTCCTAAATTCGATAAAGAAAGAGAAAACCTCATACGTATATGCCATCTATTACATACCCTAAGTTTGCTTCTATTAGTGCAGACGAATGCAATTATGGAGTAGATATAACTTCGTCTTAGCCTAGCAAATTGATGGAAGAAATCATACCATTGAGGGAAGAATTCCGAAATGAGTTAGTTCGATGATTTGAATATATTTCATTATTATGATTATTCTGGTACTTTCGCTTATTTTTCTGAAATGTATATTAAATCTATCCTGTATTTTCTCAGTTCTAAATACATGTATAGATGAACTAGATTATTCATGTCAATGATGTTTAATCAATTCAATTTCATCCAAATCACTTCTGAAAATGAACTTGCTTAAAACTCCCGTTGGTGTGCCATTTTTCATGAGGGTAATACATGTAGTATACAGTAATTGATTAGGTACACCAGAAATAAATTAAGATCTACACTAATCCAGAATATCGTTATCGTTATCATTATTATTACCATTCTAGCCAAACGCGGTGAAAGAGTTTACGGAAGTCAAATCTCTACTCCCTATGAAAAATATTACAACATGGCTGGAGATGAACGGCAAGGGAAATGGATACTTCGTGGGCGAAAAGGTAAAGGCTTATTCAGATATGGCACGGTAAACCAGCGCAAAACACGTTTACACCCAAAGATCCCTATTGATGCTTAACTTTGGTGATGATCATGTAGAGTGAAATAATGATTTTATTTTTATTTTTAAAGATCCATCTTTGTAAAATCATTTTTCATTCTACTGTTTCTCAATTATCACTTTCTTGGCATTCGTTTCCTGGTCTTCCTCCGCAATTTCATCTCTTTTGTTTCGGTCTTTTTCTCCATGCAGGGGGTTCTATTTCAAACAGACCTGGGGGGTGTTTCACAAAGTTCCTAAGTAGAACTTAACTCTAAGTTGGACTTAACAATTATGGAAAGCCGTTAGCATCGATGAAATTATTTTGTAAAAGTTGTTTTAGAAGGCATAACATTTTGAATAAAATCATTCATATTTTGTATTATCAAGGAGATTTTATGCTTTTGATGTGGAATTCATAAAAAGTCTAAAATACCTTAATTTTCGCTTTGAATATATTTTATTTTGAGACTACGAATGACTCTCCATAATTCTTAACTCCAACTTAGAGTTAATTTCGACTTAGGATCTGGGGGTGTTTCATTAAGCCTTAAATTGTTCTTGAAATCAATCGGATCACAGGGCCGGCAGAAAGAGCAGTATTAATACTGATTTGGCTATCCTATTATAACTATAATTTTTATTAATGAAAGAATTAAACTGATTGTTACTCTTTTATCATTACAACCTAGATGTCGGTGGCAGACCTTTTCGTCTTCAGCATCATGGAACACCTCGCAGGAAAATACCCAAATATCCTCACCAAGCATCCCCTTCTCCAAGCCTTCTATGAGAGAATGATAAAGGAACCCAAGTTAGCTGCCTGGATCGTGAAGCGTCCAAATCAAGATATAGATATCTAAGCACACTCTTTTTTTAATTCTACGTTTCCATGGCAACCAATCGTCTGTAAGTTAAAGGTAATACAACGTTTTGGTATGGGGTCATGAATTTGGTTCAAATTAACATATTTGAAGCATATGCTATCCTACAATATTTAGTGATCGTTGTCGTGGTTGAAATCGAGTGTAAAGTTATGAAATTGTCAATAATAAACTCTTTATGTTGTATAGCTCCCTCACAAGGTCAAGATATTAATTAAGCTATAAAAAAATGTTTCTCGACTAAAATTGACCGATTAGCTATTCCCGTTTGAAAATTATATATCACAACTACATATTCTGAGATTTTCTTGGTCGCAGCTACCATTGTACGGCCGTAGGCGCTATTTGAAATTCATCAAAATTTACCGGGAGCACCGGTAAATTATTATATTCAATTTTTCTCAAAAGCAGAAGTGTTTTAGGGGCAAAATGTTCTAGTGCTTATAATACACCCACAGGGGCATCCAAATATATCAAAATAGTAAAGAATCACTATCCACCCAATTTTCAAAATTTCCCAAAACTTTGTATTACTTTTAAGGAAAAGGTTCGGTTCTGGTCAAGGTGGACTTTCCGAGCTTTCTCGTTCTTCTCATGTCTACTTTAATAGAAGGGTATCAAAAGATACTCTCAAGCTATTCGTCTTTCACTCGTCGGAGTAAATCGCAAGAATGAATGAACAGGAAGCCAAAATCAGACAATATAAGCAAACGCTTGAGGAACAAAACGCGGGAAAAATTAACTGACCATGATTGTGATCATGTACTTTGTAGAATCCTTCATCTCTCTGATATCATTGTAGGCATAGAGATGTCCCCTGAAAAGGTTTGCTCTTGACATGCCGTCGTTTTTGAAATGTGATAAGAGAAATAGCTTAAGTGTTTGGGCCAAACGGTCATACCAATGTGTATGTAGTCCCATATAGCCATTTCTGTATGCAGTTCACGTGCTTCAGCAAGTCTGATCGAGTCAATGTTTTTTCATTTGTTATCATTCTACAACTTGACGGTATACACAAATTCTTAATGAACACTTCATAATCAGCCTCATCTAAATGCTTCCAGAGTTTATTTCACAATTGACCTGGACCGGAGCTCAATTAAAGATTGAGCAACGACTACGATAAAGCTCGTCTTTTATATTAGAAAATGTTCATAAAGTATTTCGACAATATTTTTAAAAGATCTGCAATTGTAGTCTTTAAATCATTACAAGCTCTCAAAAATATCTTTTGAGAGAGAATCATAACGGAAGCCATGTTTTTAATTTTAAATTGAGATGAAATTCATATTCGTTATTATCATGATTATGTTATATCTCGCCCACTGTAAGCTATGCTCATAAGTCCTTTACTTAAGTCCTAGCGGCGTGCAAGCTGTATTGGATCAATAAGGGAAATGGGTTTAATCCATACTAGATTGTCAGTTGAAACTGGATAAGTTTATTCATTCAAATCTGCGAAAAAGATACCTAGAATCCAAGGCCGCAAAGAGAATTGCACATTTTATGTCATCAATAATGAATGCAACTATCCAGTACACTTTTTCCTTTCCTTTTTCCACACTATGGATTATTCATATAAGATTACAACTCCATTTCCTTTCAGAAATCTGTGTTTCAACTGAATTTAAAAATCTCTATTTTATACTATTTTGTTTTTACCTAAACATTTGTTTATGCCAAATAAGATAATAAATTCAGTTAATGTCTTATTAAATATTACATTTTGTCTTGTGATTCTTGTTCCCCTTTTGTCTACTCCATTTTTTCTATTTTCTGTTATTTCTCCAAATGAATGAAAGATCTATCATACGCAAAATACATGTATGTTCAAAACAGGGCTTGAAATCTCAATTATGGCTCAAGGCTCAAGTAAACAACATTTAATTTCAGATTATGAAATTTAGAATAACCAAATTGCACCTGCCAATAAGGCACCAAATTAATTTAATGTTTTTCCACCACCAAATTTGGAACTACCAAGAAATTTTAAATATAGCCATTTCCTTCATTTCTATGACCAAAATCTTCAAACTCTGAATTTCACTTGCCCTCCTTGGTTAACATGTAACAATTTCAAGCCTTGTTCATCGAACTATTCGATGAAACAATTTATTACACTACAATTCATAATATCCATAATATTTCTTCAGAGGATTGATGTGCGAGCATATTTTTATGTCTACCAAACTTTGAATCGTTCTAAATGCATAAACTGGTTTTCTTTCATTGTATTATAACTCATAATAGATATTTAATAATATTTTTGGATCTGTCCAAATGTCCCTTTCACTTTATGCGCCATGTACAACATTTGTATGACGCCGCCTACGGGCAAACTAATACATGTGCACGTAATGCGTTTGATGCGCATTTGAATATGGGAGAACACATCACAAATGTTTATGAATCAATTTGATTTATAATCTCAGACGTATTAGGGAATATTAAATATGGACATTACGAAAGACAATGCTCATGCATGTATCAATAAGTTGGACTATTGTAATGGTCTATTGTATGGGATCCCTGACTCTCAAATAGTGAGATTGAAACGGGTTCAAAATGCCTGTGCAGGGCTGATCTGTGGTTGCTCCAAATTCACACGGATCACCCCAATTTTAAGAGACCTACATAGGTTACCAGTACGCCAGAGAATAACATTCGGAATCTTGCTTATTGTATATACATGTAAGGCACTTCCTGGTCAAGCTCCCACTTATATCGAAGAACTGTTAAATATAAAAATTAATCAACACAATCGCAACCCGCGCAGTTCCCAAGATACTTTGTTGCTGCGGATCCCATCTATCAAAACAAAATTAACGCTAGAGGATCGAGCATTTGCTCGTACAGTCCCGAAACTCTGCAATAACTAACCATTAGAAGTTAGGAAATCACCATCTGTGAATATCTGTAAATCAAAACTGAAAGCACATCCTGTCAATTAGCTGTCAATCTAAGCATATTGGAGCTCTTGTATATAGCGCAATAGAATATATACCTAATGTTGGATATTTTCTGCGCTATTTACATTTATTATTATTATTATTAATAATATGTAATACGGTCAGACTCCTAAACATGTGGTAAAATGAAAATATCAATTTCAATATTCGCTCATTCTATATGCTTGAGCTCTGACAGTTATGTACTTTTCATACTTTCTTCTGGTATTAAATTTGTTTGTATTGGTTGTATATTGTTGTCGGAATAAAAGTAACCTACAAAAAACTTTCAGCGTCTGAATTGACTTCTTGACCTGGAAGTTCCGGATGCACGCGCACTTCCTGCCCGATGAAGCCACTGGCTCGTGACTCTTGCACTCAGCACAGGTTTGGAGTTCGTTAACTTTATGGTCAACATATTTCATGAGACATATCCAAGCAAACATTTCCATAAGAGGATATATAACAGTTATAAATTTGTTTTAACTTTCAAAAATGAAATCAAATCATTTATTTAATTAGCACTCGATGTTCCCTTTGTGTATTTAGCCAAACCCCACCCCACTCCCTTGCCTGTCCGTCTCCCTCTGTGTATCTTTCTCCTTTTCTCTATGTAAAATATTTCAGTGCCTTAAAATTATTCAGATATGGGGTTTGATTTAAACAAAAAATAATGTCATTGCAATTACATAAATAAAACAATACAAAGGCCAATGATAATATATACCTGTATTAAAATCAAATATATTTAATATTTTTCTTCAAATAAAGAATGACAAAAATAATAACAAAACATATTCTATGAATAAATCAGTTAAAAAGAAATGTTCCGTGAACATAGATATAAATATTAATATGAGATCCATGAGCTCATTTGCTGTAATTCTTGTTTGGGAAGGGGGAGGGGTAAGGGGTACTGTTTTAAGAACCTTGAAAAGGGATGTGATGATACAGGTGTTAATGTTGGAACATGTTAGACTTGGGAAGACACACTGTTATTTGAGATTGATGAGTACTGGCTTATGTCCCTACAAGATACAGCTAACTCAAACAGGTTCTGAATGATTCCCCTATTAAGCTAGCGCAAATAATTGACACTAGTTATCATGCATGCGATGAAATAACACTAATAGTTTCTACTAATAAATGTAAGGGGGTGCGTACCAGATGTGAACAAAATAAATACATGAACTTACTCTCTCATACGTCTATTTTTGCAATCAAGTTTCAATTGTTTTCCTTACTTCTATTTCAGATTATTTTGCCATCATAAGGAAATACAAACCCAAACACAAGTAGTGTTTTAAAAACTAAAAGCATTAAGGAAAGAAATTGACTAGCAGAATGCATTTGTTTAAAAACAAAATCGAATGAGGTAGCTGTAATGTACCTTAATTTGACAGTTTATCATAATCCCTCTTCAAATACTTTGAAATCTACATCATATTAGATGAAATAAGACAAATCACTTGATATTTCAAGCTTGCTGGCAATCTCTTGACATATGTCTCTTTCCTTATCTTCACATTTATATGACAGCCATAAAGCCTGGATTTCCAATAGGTCCTCGTAGTCCATTCTTTAATATTGCTAAAAATCATGAAAACAATGAGATTAACAATATATACATGCAAGTTCATGTAGTTCCTTTTTTACTTGTTGAAATGGAAAACACTTTCAGTATATATTCAGACCTAGTATTACATTGTAAAATTGACTTGTTAGTGGTGTGATGAATTGAAAATTGAAAACCAGATTCTCAGTGAGTTCTTTCCTCTGAAAAGTGGAAAAAGCGAGATCTTTGTTGAATTTCGAGCATGTTTGTGTCAGGAGTTATCATTTCTATACTTGACAAAAAGTTCCAATCTATGATAGCGACGGTTGTTCCGTTGATACTATTATATGTTTGGCTCCATTGTTTATTGGAATTTAGACAAATGTCAGTTTTTTTTTAATAATCTGTTTCATATCAACGACTAGACTAATCAATTGTATTTGGTTCTATCGGATTAGTTTATTCATAAAGGCAAACTACAGTGTTAATAAGATAATAATGTACATTTAAGTGCCAGGTAACATGTTTCTGGGGAAAAAGTAATGAATAAAGGTCTGTATTTAAAAAAAAGGGTTTGAGGGTTAACCTCTTTTTCAAGATCAGAAAAATTGC